TATCTTATGGACTAAGTAATTTTGTGCCTCACCAAATGTCAGAATACATTTCTTGGCTAAAAATAAAATAAAACCAGCAGCCAAACTGGATTTTTAAATGCCATGTATTAAAATGCACTTATGGAAATGTATATTTTAAGATAAAACAATACAACATCTGTGTGCGTATCAGATCTACAAATAAAAAGCAAATAACTGATGGATTTTTAAAAATTGGCCAATGAAGAAACAGGATCAATGCATAAAGAAACAAGAAAGAGATGTAAACAAGAAAAACGCAATTGTCAATCCCTAATATATCACATAATTAACTAAAGCAAAACAAAAACTATTTCCATTGATATGAATGCCTCAAGGTAATTTTGCTTGCTACTTCACTGATGGGGATGTGCCATATTATGAGGCTGTGGGAATCACTAAAAAGAGGTTACAGTTAGTCCCAGAGGTCAGAATATGATTTTTTCCCCCAGTGTTTTATTCTGATTTTCCATCTTTGTTATCAGAGATAGATTGATGGGTTGCATAACTGTAAACTGCATTAACACTAAACCAAACTAAATGGGTGTGTGAAGTTGACACAAAGCTCTTCATAGCTTGGTTGATGAAACATGCTAAGTTACAATTTCATTTGGTTATGGTTTATAATGTTGGTTTAGCATGATAAATAAACACAATCTCTTTCTATGAGATTTAAATTTATATTTAAGCAAACATTTTTATGCTGACATCGGTTGAATTTTCAAGTCCCTTAAATTACAATTGTAATTGTTTCAGTACAGTTTTCCCTCTATGTTTTATACCTGTACAGGCACATCTTGATAATGTAGCCAGAACATAGTATATAATGATTAATGCTAATGAAGCCCAGCAGTATTCATTATTCTGTATCTGGATATGGAAAGCGGATAAACTTGAATTTATAATAGAAGCCCCAGAAAAAAATAATACAACAAAACATTTCTCTCTTGCTGCTCAGAAAACAATAGGGTGACATCCACCCTAGTCTCGAGGAGAGAAGCTTGACTTCAAGGTATCTTTACCTTGATATAATAGAAGAAGACAGCTTTATGAACCTCTTTTCATTCACAATGATAAGGGGACAGGGATAGGCTTTATTATGCCAAGCAAGATGCACTAGCTAGGTATAGGTCGGAAAATGTAGAGCAAGGGTGTCAAACTGCCGGCCTGCAGGCCGGATGCATCATAGAGAAACCGTGCCCACCCCATTGCCAGCAATGGAAAAAAAGTTGCGATATGACGCAACACGTCACGTGAGGTTGCAAGTTTGATACCCCTGATGTAGAGCAATTACCCAATACATATTTTCCCAGTCATTTCAACCCTTCCAGTCAGATCTGCAGAAAGGCAGCCAGTTTGGTCTGGTGGTTAAGGCACCAGGCTAGAAAACAGGAGACCATGAGTTCTAGTCCCGCCTTAGCCATAAAAAGCCAAGTGGGTGACTTTGAACCAGTCACTCTTTCATAGCCGAACTAAACTTAGATGGTGTTGTAGGGAAAATAGGAGGAGAAAAGAGTATTAGATTTGTTTTCAACCTTAGCTTGATTATTAAAGAAATAATAATTAAGGTGAAATATAAACAAACAAACAAACAAACTGATATGGGTCCAATTCACTAAGGAATGTTATCTGCTGGTATGCAGGAGGAAGGCCTTTTCTGCTACAGCCTCCACTCTTTGAAATATCATTGCCCTTGAGGTCAGACTGGTCCCACCCCTATTGGCATTCCAGCAGGGCCTAAAGTCAATGGCTCTGCCATCTTACCTGGGGATCGGGTAAGGGTGGCATGAATCCTACAAAATGTCTGTGCTGTTAGAGATGTTGATTATGCTTTCCTACAAATCATGTTTTTGACTTTTTAAATACCGTATATGCCGGCGTATTAGGCGACCCGGCGTATAAGACGACCCCCGTCTTTATAGCCGGGCCGCATTCCTAGAACGTCGTCTTATACGCCGGAAACTACCAGTATTTCCGGCGTATAAGACGACTCAGCGAATAAGACGACCCCCGTCTTTGGCGCCGATTTCAGCGCTCGCGGAAGTTGTCTTATACGCCGGCATTTACGGTAGCTTTTACTCTTTTAATGATCTTATGCTATCATGATTTTGATCATTTTTTCCCACTGTTTTTTGTGTTTTTAGTTCTGTAAGCCACCCAGAATCACATGTGTGAGATAGGCAGTGTTATAAAATGAGCCAACCAACCAACCAACCAACAAAATTGAACTACATACAGGATGCTATAGCCTCTCATCACTGTAATCATGGTGCAAAGGCAGAGGTGGGATTCAAATATATGAACAACCAGTTCTCTGTGTGGATGCCACTTCTGGAAGTCCATTCTGGGCTGTGGCAACAAAAAATTAGCTGCCGAAGTGGTACGAACTGGCTGAATCTCACCACTGTGCAAAAGTAACAACATCTGAAACTTCCCTTTCTCAGGCTACCCCCAGTCCTTGCTCCTGTCTCATTTGCACTATCACTGGTGCTAATTAACAACTTCACACTCTTAAGTGCCCATGGTGTGTCTGAGTCATTTTTCCTCTTGAAGTCCTAATAGCTACAGCACCAGGCCATCTCTGCCTGACTGTTCTGCATGGAATATCCTGTCTACAAAAAAAAAAAAAAAAAAAGATATGAAAGGAAAATTCTGCAAGGTGCTAAAAAGCTATGCAGTAAGTGTGAGTTGTCTGTTTTTAATAGATTGCCACCAATTTCATTAAATGGAGCACCTTTTCTGACCTTTACATTTTACAAAAAAAAAAAAAGTTTCCCATTATTTTTGCCACCAAAGCATGTTAGAATAAGTGAGGAGAAGAAGAGCAAAAGAAATTAAACTTTTGAGTGGCTCTGCTTATAGTAGGCCATGTGAGACAGAAGGGCATGCTGGTAGGGACAGGACACAAAGAGCATGTTTATTTCCAGTGGGACAGCAGCTGCTGAAAGGAAGGAAGTCCTCTGCTAGTTACATACAAACTGGATGTGATTCAGGAAAAGATCTAAGTCTCCATCACACCAGCCTCCAAAACATGGGGAATCTCAAAATCTCCTACGTATCCTTGAATGTTCTGATGTTTTAAAGCAGAATTCCTCCTCTTATTTTTGCCCATGGATCCAATCTCACACACTTTAGTGCCCATTCATTCTATGATACAATTAGGTGATCCTTAAACAGTGGTCCAGCTTTCACTAGCCATTTTAAACTGGTGCAGGATTGCTGCATCTCCATTGCCCCCTAGACCTTCTTCTGCAGAGTCATTCTTCACTGGGCATCAGGAAAAAGCTCTGATCTTTCAAACCAGCCTTTTCCTCAGAACCCACTAGATCCCCAAACTAATCATAATCAGAGGCCACTGGGCTGGCTTGAAATAGGGCTCACCCCCAAACAACTAAAAGACACTAACTATGGCCAGTGGTGGGATTCAGCCGGTTTGCACCACATCAGCAGAACCAGTAGCTATTTTTTTCTTGCCCAGGCCCAGAATGGACTTCCAGAAGTGACATCTAGACAGAGAACTGGTTGTTCACATATTTGAATCCCACCACTGAGTGTGGCGTACCAAGAGAGAGAGGTTCCCTGTTACACTGAGCAATCGCTCTTATGTGCTTGAGATATAGGTTTAGTATGTATCTTCTAGCAAAACATGGAAAGCAGAGGGCAGAATGATATAAGAAGACTGGAAAGTCATACCAAAATATTACAGACAGGGCTGGGCGATCTTCATACAGCACTTTCTTTCACGTGATACTGCACTTCATTTCCTGCAACGTTTATTTTGGCACCTTAATCTATTTGGTGTAGAATAGCAAAAAGCTAGGAGTGATCAGGGAGCATACTACGGTATTCAGACTGAATCAGCAACCATTAAATACTAATCAGCTCAATCCTGTTCTGATCCTGTTTGCTCTTCCTTTTCTTACCCCACATCACAGAAATCCTGCATTATTTAAGAAGATTACTTTTCTTTGCTTAATTTAGTCTGGAGTCACTTGCTGGGAGCAGAGAGAATTTTTTTAACAAACATTCAGCCTGAAAAAGAATCCACTGCTATGGCGAGGAGATGGGGGGGGGGGTCGCTTGTTTAAAAAATAAGCTTGAGTCCCAGGAAACATGGCTTTTTTCTTGCTAAGCCAGCTTTGTTTACCCTCAGCAGTTATGCAGCATTGTTAAATCATCACTTGCACCATAGGAACCTTTGATTAGCTGGGCTCATTCTATGAAAGAGGATTTGCTCTCATATCTAAAGATGAGAGAGTCATGAAGAAGGAGTAACAGTTAACACAGTACATATGTGAAAAAAGCAAATATTTGTTTTATAGCAAAGATTTGCTTTAGGGAATATTTTAGGGTACTATAATCAGTTCCTTTTTTCTATGAAATTAAAGCGGTGTAACATTAGTGATAGCTATGGTTAGAAGAAGGCAGATGGTATGAAGATATCTACTGTATAATGCTTTAAGATGCTACTACTGTTATCATGCTTATCTGAGAAAAAGCAGCATTATTTGGGGTTATATATCTCACGGGGCACTTTTGACGTTGTTAATCACATAAACATGTGAACACCATTTTGTCAGTTTTCGTGCGTTAAATAATTTTGTGTCACTCTTTATAGAAGAAGAAGGACAAGGCATATGAGAGAGACTATGAATAATGTCATTATATCTTTTAGTCATTAGATCGTGCTAGCCATAAAATACCTGGGTATTTTTTTTTCTGTAATATTCTGTTATTGTATCCAATAACTCTTCTCTGAATTCTGAACTGATAAATCTTCTGTGCCTTCCATAGTATGAGGAATCTAAATTTGTGAAAGCAAGGCATTCAGTCTAATGTAATGAAACGGAAAGCCCTTCAGTTTTAAGTTACTTTCAGATTACTACCATTGGATAAGAATATTTTTTAAAAATGTCTTCTATGCATATTAATAAGATTGTTGTGCCATAAATGCAATGCTTAGATTATGGAAGAAAACCCACCTCTGAAGTTCTTTCAAAGAGACTGTGATTTTCAGACTATGGCCCAGGATGTAAAGAACAGCTAATATATCTGCCCATTGGACCATCTCTCCCAGTGGACCCCCTTTTAGTACACGAGGGCTGAAAACATCTCCCGATTCTTCTGTCAAGAAGCCAATGTGGATCAAAATCTAAAAAAGCCAAAAAGAAAAGGGGGTGTGTGTGTGTGTGTGTGAATAGAAATAGGGTTTTAGGTAGGCAAGAAATAAATTACAAAAAAAAAACCAGCACAACTGAATTTCTGTACCTTACACTTATAACCCCATACACAATGAACAAGAAACTAATTTAATTTTGTACCTGCTTCTGATCTCTGTGTTTGCCCTCCAGTTTCTGTTCCAGTTTATGAGAGGCCCTCAGCCACTGTGCAGCCAAATGACGGATCCGTTTCTTCATGAAGATCAAGGACTCCTTGCCGCTGCCAATTAGCTCCAGAAGATAGGAGAGGTCTCTCTGAAAAGCTGCCTAGGAGGATAAAAAAACAATAGATTTTCTATTCATGCAAGGCTCGGTGATTTTCATAAGACCTATCAGTTGGGCATACACTCTTCTTTCCATTGCTTCTTTGGGTAAGATTAAAAATACTACTGAAATGGTTTAGGGTAATATGGTGAGTTTAGGATTATATGCTGAGGACTATCTTGAAAATTAATTATCAGGTACAGCCTATTGGAAGAAGAAGTGATAAAACTACAGACTACAAGTTGTTGTAATGTGGAATGTCCTGGTTCATATTTGCAGCAACCATGTCCTTCTCTCGGATACTGATTTACTTTCTTACATCTTATAACCACTGACAATTGTACAGTATATTTGATGGAGTTTTGCTATTAAGGTTGGGTTTTTCCCACCATAACTTTTATTTTATAGTTCTTTAGACCTTAGAGCATACAACTGTTATCTGGATGTTAATCAGTGGTTTCATTTTGCTACTGACCTAAGAGTACTTTCCAGTTGCATTCACGACCCCAAAGGAGTGACCACTCTATGTTCAGTAGATAATGCAAGACCATCAGGGAAATCCAGGGACATAAGCTAGGCTGGTAGGTCTAAAACAGTGGTTCTCAACCTTTCTAATGCCATGACCCCATAATACAGTTCCCTATGTTGTGGTGACCCCCAAGTGGGTGTGGCCACCAATAAGAGGGAGTAGGACAGCTAGGGAAAAGGGAAAAAAATGGTGGACAGAGTGGTTTGGCGACCCCCGTGAAATGGTCGTTTGACCCCAAATGGGGTCCCGACCCACAGGTTGAGAACCACTGGTCTAAAATATCCTAGATGGAGACCGTGACAAACTACTTCCAAACTGTTATATGAAAAATAGTCTGATAGTTATTGGGAAAAGCTAAGAATAGACTTCCTTCTCTTTCAACGTTCCCATTCTAGCCACCTGATTTTCTGGCAGATGTAGAAAGACTAATCCCCTCATTTGCTACTTAGTGAAATTATAGGCAGCATCCCCTTACTCAGGCATTCTGCCTATATTAACACTACTACAACATCAGGAAAAAATATAATCAGGAGAAAAACTCTCCCTATTGCACCTGATCCCATAGTAATGCACTGTGTGCTCTGATTTTATTTATGTATATTTAATGGAAAATGGAGAATAGAGATTGAGTGGGATGTGTGATTATACTTAGTTGTAGACAGTATACAATCTTTTCCTAATCAATCAATCTTTATTACGGTCATAGAACAGCAAGATTTTTTTCCTGCTCCTCCCATATTTATCCTACAATTGGAATCATTCAGGAACTGCAGTTTTTCACAAACAGATGTTCTAACACATGTTTTTCTGTGGATGGTTGCCCATGTCCATTTCTATCAAATGAGAATATTTAGGCTAGTTTCAAAAGAAAACCACTTTGATAAATAGGTCATAGCCCTGAGTCAATCCAAAAGCAGCAAGTCTTACCTGTATCCTGGGTGATGGGTTGGAAGAAGGGGCAGCTGCTGACTGATTTCGCCAAGGCAGCACTGGGCAAAACCACTCAACTTCACTGAGGTAGATGAGGAAGGAGCATTCTGTGCCATCCACACCAAAGAATGCGTAGCAAGGGTCCGAAGTCCACCGAGCCCTCATCCACTGCAAGGCAACATATTGTTTTAATGATAATAGAAAGAAAGATATGCGACAAGTACAAATCTTGTGAAGGAGGAAAAAAAGGTAAAAATGCCGCAGGAGAAAAAACTTTCTGTGTGTTTTGTTACAGGAGCAAATTCACAGTATGCCTTGTGAAAGAAAATTGTGTTTAAACTAGATTAGATTCTGTTATGTTCTTATCTAAATGCAGAGGAGATGCTGCCAGAGGAGCTCAGGATAGCTGTATCAATCCACTGTTCACAAAGTATATTTTGCCTTTTATTTCAGTCAGTACTGGCAGAGAAAAAAGAATTGGGAAAAATAAGTATTTTGTTTAGGAAGTTTCAAAAACAGATAGGTGAAAGATCACTGCTAGCATTAATATTCTATTGCCCAGCAAGGTAGAGCTGACAATCCTGCACTAAGAAAGCAAAAAAAAAAAAAAAAAATTAGCAATGCCCTTAAAAAGTTGTTTTGCATACAAAGAAATAAGAATAGGCTCCTCGATGTAGATAAATCATCCTCCATAATTGCTGGTGCCATCCTCTCCCAAACTTAACTACACCAATGAATCCACTCAAGAGACAGACCTCCACTCCCAATATGTAAAACTCACCAATCATTCAGACAGGAGATCAAATTACTGCCACCCACATTTAAATCACACTTAAAATTTAACCCAGGTCTGAACAAAGGCAGCAAAAATGAATGCTATAGAACTGGAAAAATCTGAGTAATGTAAAAGTTGTGTCTTGTTAATCTAGCAGTTAATTTATATTTTGTCAAGTAGTTAGATTAGTTGCTGAGGTTCAGTGGGGGAGGAGATAACTAATTTTAACTTATGGTTATGCTGTTCAGACAGTCAGCGTTGACTTCAGCTGACTCCCTGGACAAATCCCTGCAGTTTTCTTGGAAATATTTCAGAAATGGTTGGTCCTTGCCTGCTTCCTAGGGCAGGGAAGTCCAAGGTCACCCAGCTGGCTTTGTGCCTAAGGCAAGACAAGAATTCAGGGTCTCCAGGTTTCTTAACTACTACACCAAATTGGCTTTCTATTTTAACTGATAGTTAAACTAAAGCATTGGGGTGCAGCTGTACAGTGCTGCACACATCCACATCCAGCTGTAATGATTTATATGAATGATTTTGAAGCGAGTGGAAGAGATGCTGCCTGGGGAATGATCAGATAAGGGGGGGGGCACAGCTGCTTAACAGGCAGAGAAGAAGCTCAGAAAGAATCCCCCCCTAATTATCAGACTGTAAAAAGGGAGGGTGGGAGATTTGTACTTTCAGGCTGGCAAGTTCCTGTTATTGGAGCCTTACAATAAAGCACCGCAGAATTAACTCATCTGATCTCTTTCCTGCTTGGTCTACCTGGCAAGGCTAACTAAAGTTCTGTTCTATGTTAAAAGCACAACAAATATAAGATGCCTGAAGTTCTTCGGGCCAGAGATGACTTTCTAAATTAAAAATAAGCAAGATGATAAATTCATGTTGTTGCTATTTTTGCATTGCTTGTGTGTGAATAATTAACACGGCTGTGAAAATTACATTCATCCATTAATCATGAAACCCAGGATAACCTAGCTACTGTGATTTGAGAGCAAGAAGCATCTATCCTCACTCTCCCACTCTCAAATGAGAATTTGTTCAGTTTTTTTTTTCATTAAGTTAGCCTACATCTCTATTTGATTCTTTTGAATATGGAGTATAGTATAGTCTCCCATATCAATAGCGCATTCAGAGGAAAGTTGGAATTCTTTTAGGTGTATCTTTTGAGGGTTTGCATTATCAAATGAAAGAGGAGGAGGAGGAGGAGGAGGAGGAGGAGGAGGAGGAGGAGGAGGAGGAGGAGGAGGAGGAGGAGGAGGAAAAAGTCACATTTGGTACATTTCAAATGTTGTCCCACATAGTTGTGATATCTAGGATAGTCTATTGTTCTGCATTACCAATGCCAGTTTTATTATTAGATGTAATTAAATATAATAATAAAAACGTTTCTTCAAGTTACTGGACCCTAATGGAACTTCAAATCCCTTTCTAGAATTTTCAACATTGTTGTTTCTATTGAGGCCAAGTTGAAATGTGTGGTATGTTCATAGCAGATGACAAATGATTTCAGCATTTCCTTGGGTGGGAGCAAAGAAGGTAAATTAATTGCAATACTTAATAGTTATTGCATTTCCTGGACTTTTGGAAATTCATGCATATCATTTTCTGCCTTTCCAGCAGGCAGAGAAAAGGAAATGAAATCAAGATTTAACATTAGCATCAGGGATGCAACATCAGCATGAAATTCACAGGTAACTGTATCCTGAAGAAAATCAGAATTAAGACATTCTTTCTACTGAGGTGATCTTTGAGCTTGGTTGTTTTATTGCAGATCTTTCAGTACTCAAACTTGGTAACATCTCAATGCTAGAAAATATCTGCAAGAAAACAGCCAAGTTCAGAGTGTACCAAGGACCCCTCATTTCAACTCTGAGCTGTAAATATTCTTCTTTATTGATTCTTCCTACTACACAGTTTTTGCCTGTTCAGAAAAACAACAACAACAAGACACTGATAACCTGACACTATCATAGCTTCCCTCAGGATCACCAAATATTTAGCTGCATAAAAAGGGGGGGTGGGCTGGATAGGAAAGAGTGACCCAGTAATGGTAAGATTTTCTAAATTTTAGATTGCTTTCTGGAGTAAACTGTTCCAATATGCTTGCTAATTAGTCAGTATATCACTATAACCAGTGCTTTTTTTGTTAAAAAAAAAAAGATGCCGGAACTCACACGTTATACAACCCGCCTTGCCTACCCTACTAGGTTCCATCCAAAAAAGGTGCCCTGATTATAACCATAATGCATAATAAGTGCAAAATATTTAGAATGCTAAAGCAGAAATAACATATTTTGGGTGCCATCTACTAAAAATTTAAGGTGGGGGGAGTGCAATGAACTTTCATCCTAAAGGCCTTCATTTATAGAAAACAAGGAAGTGGATTTGTGGGTATCTGACCATAAAGCCTATTCTAGCGCTGTGAATCCACGGCGCTGGATCTCAAGCAGTTCTTTGTGGGTGCCTATGACTTCCCTAACCCTCCATGTTAGTGATACAGCAGCTATTGCCATCATTCCTAATTTCTCAGAAGCCAGTGACCACAGATCAATCAGCATGGATAAATATGTGCAACTTTCTGAATGTGAATGTATATGTTTATGAAGTGTGCACGTGCAACTCCCAAGTCAGTTGCATGAAGCTCTAACTCTAAAAAACGCAACCCCTTCCTAAATCACTCCCCACCACTCCCTACCCCATGCTTCTTCCCCATTATCACTAGTGATGTTTCAAAGTACATCTGGTGCCAATTTTATCTACGAGATAGGAGTGCTATTTCCAGGGTTTAGGGGGGAAAATGAAGTGATTTAATTATCACCAACACAAGCATGTATAACCATGAAATCTAAGAATCTTTATAGAGCCCTCGGGTCTATATTATACATATGGGATTAAGATATTTAAACTTTGCCTTATGTTAATAGATCAGAGGACTGATATAATTTTAAAAAATAGTAAAACCAAATAACTTAATAAAAGCAAACTAGAAATCTATAGGTCCTTTAGGAATGGTACAAACTGTGAGAAGATATGGGCAGGCTGAGGGAAGAATGGCTGAGGACACAGATCTAAATAATCAAAAGCCAGCAGTGGGTGACTCACTTTATCTCACCAATTTAGCCTAAGTGAAGAGAAATCCGGGAAGACTTTGAGAAAGGACATGGCTGCAGAAGCCATTTTCCATCCTCACTTGTAGCCAAATTAACACCATAGAACAGGTCTCAAGCTTAGGAACCAGGTAAAGGTGGCAGTCTCATAGCAGACACTTGTCCCTCATCAACAACTTCTCAAGCTTTCTTTTTCTTCTGCCATGGATTATCCAGATAATGGGTCATTTTCTCTTTTCCCCAGGAAAACCTTTCATACTTGACACACTAGCTTCAGCCTGTCTCTTCAGTCAGCTAGCTAAGAGGCTCTCCTGAGGAATCTTCAGGAAATGTAAGAGGGGCTTCTTCCCATCACAGTAAGCATGCAGTGTGGATAAGCCTATGAGGGAGACAGCTTTAGGTGCATCATTGTGTTCTTCCCTTATCCTGACATAACTCAAACGCAGCCCAAATATGTGCAAAATCAGTTACCTTGAAGAGAAGTCAGGGGACTGCAGTAACTTGAAACTGGTAACTGGGGCAGAATAGGAATCAGCAATGGGGACAGCCAAATTCATGCCAGTGTTAACAGCCAGCTCAAGGATAGGTGGTATAGAGCAGTTGTTGTTAACTGTGAAGTCGTTTCCGACCCATCGCGACCCCATGGACAACGTTCCTCCAGGTCTTCCTGTCCTCTACCATTTTCTGGAGTCCATTTAAGTTCACACCTACTGCTTCAGTGACTCCATCCAGCCACCTCATTCTCTGTCGTCCCTTTCTTCTATTGCCCTCAATCTTTCCCAGCATTAGGCCCTTCGCCAGTGAGTCCTTCCTTCTCATTAGGTGGCCAAAGTATTTGAGTTTCAACTTCAGGATCTGGCCTTCTAAAGAGCAGTCAGGGTTGATCTCCTCTAGGACTGACCGGTTTGAATGTCTTTCAGTCCAAGGGACTCACAGGTGTCTTCTCCAGCACCATAGATCAAAGGCCTCAATTCTTTGGCGCTCAGCCTTTCTTATGGTCCAACTTTCACAGCCATACATTGCAACTGGGAAAACCATGGCCTGGACTATACGCACTTTTGTTGGCAGGGTGATGTCTCTGCTTTTTAGAATGCTGCCTAGATTTGCCATAGCTGTCCTCCCCAGGAGCAAGCGTCTTTTAATTTCTTGGCTGCAGTCCCCATCTGAGGTGATCTTGGAGCCCAGAAAAATAAAATCTGTCACTACCTCCATTTCTTCCCCATCTATTTGCCAGGAATTGAGAGGGCCGGATGCCATGATTTTGGTTTTCTTAATGTTGAGTTTCA